GCGGCTCGACAGCTCGGGTGTGCGGCGGCCCTGCTGCTGGACGGCTCGGCGGCGGCCAGGTAGAGCGGCGGCGGGGTCGGGCGAGGGCGGCTTTGTGGCCGCAAGGGCGGCGCTAGGGTGGGCCGACGGGCGGCTCGAAGGGCCGCTGGAGGAGACGGTGACCAGCCGCTGGAAGTGGCGGCGGCGAGGCCCCTTAAAGCGGCGGCGACGGGCCGCTGGGAGAGGCGGCGTCGAGGCCGCTGGAAGAGGCGGCGACGGGCCGCCGGACGAGGCGGCGACGAGGCCGCTGGAGGAGGCGGCGACGGGCCGCTGGAAGAGGCGGCGACGAGGCGGCTAGAAGAGGCGGCGGCAGGCCGCCGGAAGAGGCGGCGACGAGGCCGCTGGAGGAGGCGGCGAAGGGCCGCCGGAAGAGGGGGCGACGAGGCCGCTGGAAGAGGCGGTGACGGGCGGCCGGAAGAGGCGGCAACGAGGCCGCTTGAGAAGGCGGCGACGGGCCGCTGGAAGAGGCGGCGAAGCCGCTGAAAGGGCAGCGACGGGCTGCGTAAGAGGCGGCGCGAGAGGGTCGTGAAGGAGCGGCGCGACGCGGCCGTAAAGAGCGGCGCGACGGGCCGTAAGGGCGGCGCGACGGGCTCTAAGGGCAGCGCGACGGGCCGTAAGGGAGGGCACTAGGAGGCCGTGAGAGGGCTGCTAAGGGCTACGCTACTCGAGAGAGAGAACACAGGGCGCGGCCCGGGCCTGAGCGAAGCGCGCTCCGGGCAGGAAAAAAATCTTAGTGGTGGGCCCTAGGAATCGTTCCCGCTAGGGAACCTGCTCGATACCATGAGAAGAAACGAGAATGAATGAACTATGAATGAACTGGGTACAAGTACTAACCCTAATTGGGTTGTATCCCCTATGGGATACCCCACTATAGCCTACACAAAATCAGAAGCTATAATGTTCTGACAGGGGGGGGTAGTTTAAGGAATTTTCTCGATGTTCCTTAGCGCACCCTGCAACACCGCGTACAACAGCAGCCGTTGTTCAACCGTTACTGCTAACGGGGCTTCGCCGACTTCGCACGCATTATTTTCCCAAACCTCGCACTGCTGGATCGGCCGTGTCGGCCTACGCTTCGGGACTAGCCCGAGCCTCGCTTCCAGCGTAGCACCAGCTGGCTCGCACGCACCGCGTTACCGTTTGCATATTTCGCGTATAAATGTTCGCTCATGCCTTCGCTCACATTTTGTACTCGTTTGACACCTTAGTGCACTTCTCGCTACTTCGATTCATTGCACCCGTAACTGGGGGAATATTATGCCCCTCATATTCCGTTCTCAATATAGGCAACCCACCCTGCAAGTAGCATTACATGTGAAAACGACTAATGAACTTATCAAAACAACCCTGTTTTGAAAAAGTTTAGAACCACACATTGTGCGGACCACAAGGTTCATACAAATGGAGCTTATGTTTGTTATTGTTTACCAAAACCTTCGAATGCAAATGCATATTGTGTTATATATAATCAATATCTATTCTGCACATATGCCCAAAACTCTTGTAATAAAAAAAAAGAAATATACTGCTTGGTGTGTGAAATTGCTAGTACACCTAACCACCGCTATTTTTTTTTTCGGTCTATTTTCACGATCCCCGAAGAGAGTACTGTAGAAGTGGCGCTATGGATTCATATTCGCATAATGAGTTTAAACTTCGAGCATTAGGCGTCATTCATAGCCGCAGTCATCTAAGTGTCGAACTGAAATTGTCGAAAACGTGCAGGGTAACTTTGAAACGCGAGATTAGTGGGTTGGGTTTCTCCTTGAAAATAGTGGTGGTTAGGTGTAAGTTGGTATGAGCAATGTCAAAGTCAAGAGTTTCTTTATTTAAAACTCTTTTGTAACGGATCGCTCTGACTGGAGTATATTTTCCTCAGAAGTTTGCCGCCATTTTGTCCTCCCGCCCTGCACTTCCAGGGGCGTTTCCACCACCGAGGCGCAGTTATTTGCTTTTCGGGAGGGACCACCGCGGCGCCTCTGAAACTGTGTCAGAAATAGGGGAATCTGGGCCATCGATATCCGATCCGACCCTCCGTTCGCTGCACACACCCTCTCAATTTCAAACAGCCATCCCCGCGAGCCGAGAGGCCCGATGATTCCCTGAAATAGGTTCGTGCAGTTCCGGGGCGAACACCGAACACGTTCGAGACGAACCGAACAGGTTTTTTTTTTGCTAACAATGTTCGGGGCGAACGTGTTCGGTGTTCGCCCGAACACGCTCGGTGTTCGCCCCGCTACTGCTGCCGAGCCGCGTCTAACACGAACGCGTTTTTGTTCGTTTCGGGGAAAAAAACGAACACGAATGTGTTCGACGCGACTGTCCCGGCGGGCTACAATTTACGTTGCGGGACATGTTTGAGCTCAAATTTGAGCTCAAACTTAGATCGTATTCCAAAGCATGGACACCATCCGAAGTGGCCCCATCCGAACTTATTGGGGCCCGGGATGGTGTCTGTGTGGGGCAAGCCCCCACTCTTGACTTTTGGGGTCGCAGGGTTGGCCGGAACGGTCGTGTGCGTCGTCTGACGCAGAGCTGGTTTGGTTTGCTTCGCGCCCAATAGAATCTGCCAGAACCCGTCGCAGTGTAGCCTGCCAAACGTCCAGTTCTGACTTCGCGGGCAATTTTGAAACTTGTGCCGCGAAATCGTTTGGTCACGTCGTGAGGATCTGGAGTTTGTACAACCGACTAGCGCGCGGGTAAGAATGCGTAAAGTTTCGTGACGGTAACTGGTCACGTACTCAGCCTGTCAGGTTCAATGTCCCAATCATACACCAATATGGCATGAAACCCATTGTCGCATGGAGTCGTGCAAGACGGTCGCATATTAAGTGGCCGTCAGCTCCAAAGTGTCTTGATGCCGAACCGCGTGGCGCAACATTGAAATCCGAATTTCCAACATTGCGGACCGCGTGGCCCAACTTAGTCACTCTATTCAACAGCAGCCAATACTACCACGCCCCCCACACATCTCGCCGTTATCACCTTATTAGGATTTAGCGTAATTAAGCAGTTACCATAGGTGAGTCTGTATAGACTTGGGTATGCGAGATTTAGGTTTTCGGGAAAAGATTAGATAGGGATGTCGCAGAATCTCGTAAGTTGAGGGTTGGGGGTAGCATTCGCAAATTTCGTATGCATGGGATTGAGAGGAATAACATTCGCATATTTCGTGAGTTGGAGGGCTGTGGGGGGTTGGCGAGAAATTGCAGCTTTCGTAGATATAGAAAGGGGAGAACATTTCACCTTACGTGGGGGAAATCCAGGTGACGAGCTGGATAAATAAAACTATGGATCCGTAATTAGATCTCGCAAAATGCTGATCCAGCCTAGATATTTTCCCCCAGTTTCTCGCAATTCCCCTGCCCGCCGTTGCGCATTTACAGCATAACAAAGGATGCCCATGGGCGAACAAGTTCGTGTTTGCCTCGAACACGTTCGTGTTCGCCTTAGCATGCTAGACGTTCGCCCTCAGAGGGGAACATCGAACACCCTTTTTTGTAAAAGGTGTTCGGCAAACCGAACACTGTCTGGTTTGCCGAACGGCGGTGTTCTAGCTGGGGCGAACGCGAACATGTTCGGTTTGCCCCGGCTCATGAAAATGCACATCGTCTCAATTTTCTGTGATGCATCATGTTGAAACGCGATAAGTAGACCTGGCTTTCCTGTGTTCAACGAACTGGGGGGTCCACCATCCACCCACCCCACCACACGCTGTGACAGGTCGATTCGACCCTACGCACGCGCCCACCTGAGTTGATCGCGACTCGATCTGAGCAGAGCTTGCTGCTCTGCCATTCCTTTTTCTGACACCGTTGCTCCCATCCGTTTCTCCTCGCTCGCACCCATCCCACATGCTAGGGCGGCTGCGCTTACCATTCTCCCTTTCTTGAAGCTGGCTCTGACACGCTTGCTGCAGGCCACAACGTCTCTGATCGACAGTAGTTGACGGAAAACAAGAATGGGTCGTCTATCGCAAGAAATGAATGGAGGAACCGAGGATAGGAGGGCTCCCATGGCGTCTGCCAGTGATAGGTGCTGGTTGCCGCCTTGCAACCGACTCCTTCTGGACTTTCAACCCGCCTCAACGCCACGCGACTCCCTTCGACTCCAGGGACGGATTCTGCGTAGGTACAAGTCGTTCAACGAACCTGACTCGCTACAACTGTCGCTTTTGATCGGATAATGTACGTGCGACGCATCTAGCGACTTATCACAGGCGGTGCAGCTGATCCTCTTCCTCTCTTTAGTGTTCGCTGGCTTCACAAATGTGGAATCTGCATTTTCTGACCCGACTCGAGATACGAACCCTTTCTCGAGGATACTGGCTGCAATTGCGTTCACACACTTCATGAAGTAGCTTTCCAGCCAAAGTTCATTTCGCACAGCAATAGTCACTAGCTGTCAACAGCTATATCAGTAGAAAGGAAGTGGCGCAGTCGGTGCCGGCTCCGATTTGCTGCTTGCTTTGAAGCAAAGATCATTCACAGATGCTCAAGGATTGCAATAGAGGCCTCACACGCTTCGTGGCTTTCCAGCCAAAAGTCATTTCGCACAGCGATAGTCAACAGCTATATCAGTAGGAAGGAAGTGGCGCAGTCGGTGCCAGCTTCGATCTGCTGCTTGCTCTGACGCATAATCACATATGCCGCCGCACGTCTTGATTGCAATAGAGGTCTCGCGCGCCGCACGTTGTTAGCAACGAATCTAGAGTCAAGAAAGGTGCATCGTCAGACCTAAGCCTAGAGCCTTTTGCGGTAAAGCGAGAGGGAGAAGTGACTGAGTTTCTCACTACCATACGTATAGTCGTGGTGTCTTGAGCTTTCCAGTAGATTCATTTACCTAGTCGCCGCTGGTCATTCAGACCCTCAGGCACTAATACAAATCAGTAGCTTCTCTCTTGGTGGAGAGAACTAGCATATAGCATGAGTCCACTGCAGGACATAACACAGCATCGAAACATGGCGGCATCGCCGGTCGACTGGACATCGCATCGTCCATCGATTACGCGGCGATCCGACGACTTCGCCGGTGGTGCTGGCAATGACATGGAAAAGGCAACTTCCGGCTTTCCCGATTGCTCTGAATCTCCCGACTGCTCTGAATTTCCTGACTTCCCCAACTGCGATGAACACGTCGACAAACGAAGCGGCGTTACAAGAACTCATTTGAATTTTGATACGTCTCAAATTACTGGTAGTGGTGGCGTCGAAACGGCGCTTGAAAACGATGACGCTCCAGGAAGCCATTCGAAACGGCCGCGAAAGCCGCCCTCTGGTCCGAGCGGAAAGGAGAATAGAGACGTGACGTTTGGAAAGGAGAAAGAATCGACTGACGCCGCGTCCTCCGGTCAATGGAGAGTGTCGCGCTTCGTGCTGCCGTACCTGCCGCCGGGATACAGGGAGCTTCCGGTGGTGCCGACAGCGGGTAGTCGCATGAAGTCGTCGCAGCTAGTGCACTGGATAGGGCTGCTCGCTCTCTTCTCCTGCGCGTCTATCTGGCTCCTGGTACGTCGCATGAGCCTCCATCTGGCTACTGGTACGGCGATTGCCTGTATGACGACATTCAGGTTTGCTTTGAGTCGACTCATCTTACACCTGCTAGGTTCCGGTGCTGCCGACTGCGGGGAATTGCATGAAGTCGTCGCAGCTGGTGCACTGGATAGGGCTGCTCGCGCTCTTCTCCTGCGCATCCATCTGGCTCCTGGTACGATGAATGACTGCCAGTGCGTAACGCGTTCCGCCTCACCGCGTAACCCCTTGTGTAACGCCAGCGGGCGGGCTTACACGAAAGGGTTGACCTTTAAGGCGCCTCAAAACTCGCCGGCGGGCTCACAGTCTGCGTTCCCCCGCCTTCCTTCCTGCAGGTGCCAACGCTCTTGCCGGCACGGACTGATGCGCCAGCGGTGGCGCCTGCCCCTCCGGCCCGGCTCATCCTGGTGACGCCGACGTACGCGCGCGCGTTCCAGGCGGCGTACCTCACGGAGCTCACTCACACGCTGCGCCTCGTACCGCCGCCGCACACGTGGATCGTCGTGGAGAGCGGGAATAAGGTGCGTGGTGCGGCATGCGTGTGCGGGTTTAGAGGCGCCTAGAATTAAAAAGAGTTAGGAAGCCTCTCAAACTTTCCAGCTCCTTTCCTCCCCCTCCTTCGCTCGGACGCCCATTCCCCCCCCCCTCCCCCATTCCCGCACGCGTGGATCGTCGTGGAGAGCGGGAATAAGGTACGCTAGTAGCGCCTCAAACTTGCCAGCCCGATTCCCCCCCCTCCTTCACTCGCCCTCTCCCCCCCTTCCGCACACGTGAATCGTCGTGGATAGCGGGAATAAGGTACGTTACTCTTGCGGGATGTGGAAGCGGTCTGTGAAGCGGCTCGGAAGACTTGAAAAAGCTTGGTGTTTGGGGCGGATATCGAATCCCTGTTAACTTCGCATGCTGCTCTGCTCGCTTGCCTGCAGGCGGACGAGACGGCCATGCTGCTAGAGCGGACCACAGGGTACTGTGCAGCGACAGGAATGTTCCTCCTGCCCATCTATAGCCAGATAACTTCACTTACTTCTCTGCTCTGCTCGTGTGCGTGCAGACGGACGAGACGGCCATGCTGCTAGAGCGTACCGCAGGGTACTGTGCAGCGGTGGAGGCAGGCGGGTGTCGGAAGCTGGAATACGTTCATATAGCCACTGAAAATGTAAGTTGGAGGGCAGGGATTAGGCTGATGTTCTGGGTGTTGGGTGATGCCCAGCAGCGGAGGCAGGTGGGTGTCAGAAGCTGGAGAACGTTCATATAGCCACCGGGAAGGTCAGTTTGGGGGTTTGGGAATTTCAAATTCAGGGGACGGGAAGATAAGAAGGAAGAAGAAAGAGAAAAAAATATCGTGGTGGTGATGAGTGGTTTTCAACGGTTACCTGGTGTTAAGTGTTGCGGAAGAGCCTTCCTTCCCTGCCCCTCTCCTCACTCTTTTGCCCGCTCTCCACCACACCCTCCCCCATCCTAACCCTCCCTTTGCAAAACGAGGACCAGAGGTGGTTTCGAGGTGTCGGCCAGTGCAACCTAGCTCTGGAGTACATCGAAAAGGAGAATCTCGAGGGAATCGTGAATTTCATGGACGATGACAACTCGTACGCGCTGCAGCTGTTCGAAGAGCTACGGAAGATCCTTCCTCCCCTGCCCGTCTCCTCACTGCTTTGCCCGCTCTCCTCCACTCCCTCCCCCATCCCCGCCCGCCCTTTGCAGGACGAGGACCAACGATGGTTCCGAGGCGTGGGGCAGCGGAACGTTGCTCTCGAGTACATAGAAAAGGAGAATCTCGAAGGAATCGTATACTTCATGGACGACGACAACTCGTACGCGCTGCAGCTGTTTGAGGAGCTGCGGAAGATCCGGCGCATCGGGCTGCTGCCGGTGGGGTTCCTGTTCGGGAAAGACAGCCCCATGCGCTCCTACGTTGGCCGCCCCATTGTGCGCGTGGCTGTTGAGGGGGGTGACAGGGAGGGCAAGAGGGAGGGCGGTGAGAGGGAGAGGGGTGCTGCTGTGGAAGGCAGTGGTGGCGACAACGCTGGTGGCAAGGACAGCTCATATGCTGGCCACCCCATTGTGCAGGTGCTTGTGGAGGGGGATGACACGGAAGGTGACTCTTCTGTGGAGGCCAGCAGCGCCAGCACTGGAAGCAGTGCCAGTGGCGGTGGCAGTGGCGGTGGCGGTGGCAGTGGCGGTGGCGGTGGCGGTGGCAGTGGCTACGCGGGCGGGGAGATGGAGCAGGTGGCACGGGCGCGAGTCGTGGGGTGGGAGGCATATGGCCGGCGCGTCCCCCTGCAGAGGGACCCTGAGGCACGGCGATACATCACGGACATGGCTGGGTTTGCTTTCAGGTATGGCGATACATCACGGACATGGCTGGGTTTGCTTTCAGGTATGGCGATACATCACGGACATGGCTGGGTTTGCTTTCAGGTATGGCGATACATCACGGACATGGCTGGGTTTGCTTTCAGGTATGGCGATACATCACGGACATGGCTGGGTTTGCTTTCAGGTATGGCTGTGGATCAGAGATTGTGCATCAGACGTTGCATGCAGAGGGCATTCTTGTGACTGAAAGACCAGAGGGACCCCGAGGCGCGGTGGTACATCATGGGCATGGCTGGATTCGCGTTCAGGTGAGCAAAGGCGTGTTCCGCTCTCAGTTAGGAACCGAACCTCCCCTCTGCGCACGCGCCCTGTGCTGTGTGTGTGGCACCGAGTCTCGAAGTCACTCGTTCGCTCCTGTTGAAACGCAGCTCTGAAGAGCATGTTTCAATTTTATGTAGGTGCCCCAACACTGTTCCCTGTGTGCCCTGTGGTGTTACCTTGTGGTGTGTGTGCTATGCAGCACGGAGGCTCTCCGCAACGGCACAGTCCAAGGGAAGAAGCAGCCAATTCGCTTCCGGCCTTCAAAACGCGGGTAGGGAGTCTTGACATGGGGTTGACATGGCAGGTCATTGTGCTGGGACCTTGCCTTCTTTCGGCCATTGCTGCCAATGGCAGCAATGGCAGCATGCCACTGTGACTCAACATGCATGCATGCTAAGCCATCCAACAACTCCTCTTCCTTGTGGCTCCTTTCCCTGGCAGGTTCCTGGAGACGGACTTCCTAGAGCAGCTGGTGACACACGAGGATGAATTCGAGGTGTTGGCAGATGGGTGCAGAGCGGTGTGGGTGTGGCACAAGCACATGGAGGACCTCTCCTGGGCCACGTACCCCACGGATTGGCAGCCCGAGCAGAGCAACTACCGCATTCCCACGTATGACTGGGTGAAGAATGACACCAGTCACGAGGCTCGGGCTGGGTTGATCGGGCAGATTGCTCGCGTGACGAATGTTACGTTACCGCCGAGTTCCGAGGAGATGAGCAAGGAGGGGGCCGTGCGGAAGAGAGGGGTGGGGGTGGGTGGGTCGGGGATGGTGAACGGGCAGAAAGCGGATTTGAGGCGCAACGTGGGAGTGGTACCAGGAGGGGATACAGGGGAAAGGAATAGGTTGCGTGGACGGCAGGAGGATGGAACAAAAAATGTTCAACAAGCAAGGAGAGGCATACAACCACCAAGAACGTAATCTCCATGCTTTGTTTACTGATTCTCCATGAGTTTTTCCCTCAAGAACTGAATGTTAGGTGATAATATTGGTAAATAAATTGATCTAATACAAAATAGACCCTGGGTCTTAAGCCATTGAGGTAACCTTCGAGAGTATTAGGGTAATCATTTTCACATGCCAAATTCAACAATGAGTTGTAGTGGCTGAAAGTGTACCCATTTCCAATCAGCTGCTGCGCTAATGACAACCTCGATGTTGGGTGAGCTTTAGGGGACATACCATGATGAGATTCGTTTGCAGGTTGTCTTCCACTTCCACACACCATTTTCATTTGCATCTCAAATCTCGGAAGTGTGACCCCAACATCCGGTATTCTGCGTTCTGGAGCGGTGAATCACCATCTAGCACGGCTGAGTAGGGTATTGGTGAAACGAGCGTTTGAACACCACCTCTCTCAGGAAGTATCATTCTGGCTTCCTCCTGAACGGGAAGTGAGTTCTGCTCGTCTTGTCCTTGCTCTCACTTTATCTCAGATTCGCACGCTTCCAGTACCAAACGTGCTTGTCTGATCACAGCTCTGGATGTCCATCAATTCCTGGATTGATTTCGCGACGCACTTTCAAGCGCGTTCCGTCCAGGATCCTGCTGTCCAACGGATTGATCGTTGAATATAGGTTGGTCGCTTATATCTCCTTTTCGCGATCTGTCCGGATTGGATCGTATCTGTTTCAATCTCAAGATACTTTCCCGCGTAGGTCACTTTTGCGAGCACGCGGGATTCTTTTACCCGCCATCGTTGTCGTACAGGTGCTGTGGTAATATGGTCACGTACTAATAGTGCACTATACTGAGTTTATCGTCGTTCGTTTTTCTCCGTGTTTATTCCTTCCGCGATTCTTTTCTGTGGATCTAGATCCGTGTTTTCTCTAAATCAGGCAGCAGCGAGCGCACATGGCGACAAACGGGCTAGAGATTGCCGGCGAGCGCATCACGGGTCAAGACGTACGAACACAAAATGGTACGGGTCTAGTTCTACGAGGCTCAGAACTTTTATGCGTGTGTTTACAGATCTTGTAATAATCTTCGAAAGCTATACAACACACGGAAGGATAGTAGTCCGTAACCCGGCTCGTGGATCTCAGTGAAATGGAATTCTCGCTTGGTTCGGTGTCCCTTTAGCACGTGCACGACTTTACCGTCGTCTCAACATGGGTCGACTTCTTTTCGCGCTGCTTTTCGCACACTTCGTTCAGCCTCTGCAATACGTCGTGGTTGAGAGTCGTGGTCGAGGGTTCAGGGCTAGGGGTACAGCAACGCAGTATTTCGGGTCGACCTTATACGTGCCGGCTTGATAATCAGTCCCGAATTGGAAGGGTTTGGTGGGTGGTAGTGGTCGCTGATCGATCCTTCCTTCGTTATCTCAATTCACATGTAAGAAAGAACTCAATTTGCGATCTCTAGTCATTGTCCAATGTCCATTGTTTCCACACGTGCATGGCCATTCTCCATGACCATTGTCAACACTATCAAGAAACGTGTCAGTTAATAACAATTCCTCAGCACCGGCCTTAACCTCTCTCTCCCTCCATGTTGTTTCCCCCTCATTCTCCCTCCTCTGAATGCTTCCATTCGCGATCTCCAGTCACGGCGTGCATGGCCATAGCCAACATCGTCAAGAGCTCGCTGGGCCCCGTGGGATTGGATAAGGTGAGATTCCGCACGTATCACGAATCTCTCATGGACATTACACGTTCCTCCTGTGTGTCTGGTTTTCGCACTGAGGACGCGTTTTCCTTTTCACAGCAAATGCCTTGTTATGCCTTATGATGGCCACACCAGGCGGTTCGTTCTTACTGTCAGCTGCTGGTTTACGATTTGGCCGGTCCTTGTCGTTGGCAGCTTCAGTGCACAGCTCACTCGCGGGACAACCTTTGCTGAACTGGTTGTTGAACCGCTGTCTTCAACGTTCTCCTCTCAACATCCTCCTCTCACCGTCCTTCCCATCGTCCTTTCCCGTCACAAAAACCCTGTCAATCCTGTCTCGTCTTGTCCGCTTTTCAAATCTTCGGCTCCCAATCGGTCCTCTCTGCATCTCCTTTCCTGCCAAATGCTAGTGGATGACATTGGTGATATCACCATCACTAACATCAACCGTATGTATCCTCTGTTCACCACTCATCAGTTCCCAATCGGTTCCCCCTGCGTCCCCTGCATCCCCGGCGTCCCCGGCGTCCCCTGCGTCCCTGCATCTCCTGCCTGGCAGATGCTAGTGGACGACATTGGTGATATCACCATCACCAACGACGGAGCCACCATCTTGAAGCAGCTGGAGGTGGAGCATCCCGCTGCCAAGGTAGTGCTCTAAGTAGTGCAGTGCAGCAGGTAAGGTAGTGTTCTGTACATCGCTGCAGCCAAGGAATATCATGCTTAGTGCTTTCTCACCGTTCTGAAGCAGCTGGAGGTGGAGCATCCTGCTGCCAAGGCATTGTTTCAAGCAACGCCGGGCGCAAGGGATTGCTCTGTGTAGTGCTATTTTTTTTAGGACTCAAATGGTCACCATTCTGTAGCAGGTGTAAGTGAAGGGCTCTGCTGTCACGGGAGTGTTTTGTATAATGCCACAGGCAAGGTAGCGTGCTTCTAATTGCTGTTGCGCTTGGAAACCCTCTGGAATCTCGTCGAAATTTCTCAGAAATACCATAGCTGGAGCACCCTATGACCACTTGGGAGAGGTCCTTTGAGGTGCCTTGAAAGCAACACCCCCAACCCCCCCCCCCGCTTCCTCCCATCCCCCCTCACCCCACCCTCCCCTTGCCTGCCGTGTGTGTCTCCAGGTGCTGGTGGATCTGGCAGAGCTGCAGGACAGGGAGGTGGGGGATGGCACCACGTCAGTCGTCATCATTGCTGCTGAGCTTCTCAAGGTGGGGGATGGCGCCTCTCTCTGTGTGCGCTGCGTGAAGTTCTGGTAGTGCCTTAGAGTTTGCTTCAAGGCCGCTTTGTGTGAGTGAACAGGGAGGTGAGGTAGGGGGCCTCCATACGTGTGCGCCTGTCTGCCTGTGTGCCTGTCTGCCTTTCTGCCTATCTCCTTGTGTGTCCTTGACTTCTTAGGTTCCATTGTCCATTTCGTCCCCCCCCCCTCCTCTCACGCTGCGCTGAGCACGGACGACCTCTTGTGCATGCATGGTGCGAAGATTTTTGAGGCGCTTTTTACAGCACTCATCCCTTTGCACTCCTCGTCTTTACTCGTTTGTGTGTTGTGCGTGTGAGCAGAGGGCAGACGATCTCGTGCGCAACCGCATTCACCCAACGTCCATCATCAGCGGGTATCGAGTGAGTGTGCCCCTTACCCCAACCCCCCCATTCCCCTGTGGTTTAACCTAAAACCATGGCCTCATAACCCAGAAACCCATGACTGGCTCCGAAAATATAAACTTCAAGCCATAGCCCGGCAAACCCAGAACCCTATCCCCCAAATTCTGAATTCAAAACTTGTTTTCCCAAACCCTATAACCCGATATGACAGCTTCCCAAACCCAGAATCCGAATATAATAGCTTTTCAAATTCAGAACCCAAGGTGATAGCTTCCCAAACCCAAACCCAGACTGTAGCCTTTCTGACACTGAAATCACGACCATACCTTCCCAGACCCAGAACCCAGATGGTCTTCAGCCGCCATTTTATCCAGTTTACCTCCTCTCCCTCTCTCGTTTCCTGGATCGTTTTTCTTTTTCCTCACCCCTCAACCATCTCTGGTGGGTCATTACAGCTGGCGATGAGGGAGGCGTGCAAGTACGTGGACGGCAAGCTGGCAGTCAAGGTGAGTGTTGTGTTGTGACCTCTAGTCATGGAATAGGGGTTTCCAGAACTAGAGGTTTTTCCTGTGTGGTTGCGTATCCGTTGAGTGGATGGCAAGCTGGCAGTCAAGGTGTGTGAGGTAGACTTCAGTTATGGTAAGGGGTTTGGGGTTTTTTCAATGATGTGTTGTCTCTTTTTTGCCTGTCCCCTACAATCCCCCTCCTCGTTCCTTCTCTCCTGCTCTCGCTCCCTTTTCTTGCATTTTGCATTTGCTGCTGTGTGCATGCAATCCCGCCCTGCACTGCTCCCCTGTTCACAAGAGCAAGGGGAGAAGCTATGTGGGGCGATGCTGCTGAATGCGGCCAAGACGAGCATGGCCTCCAAGATTGTCAGCGCCACATCAACCTCCGGTCGGGCTCACTGATGGCCTCTCCCCTCCCTGTCCCCCCTCCTTCCTCTTGCTGTCTTCTGGTGCTGCTCCCCTGCGCACAAGAGCAGGTGGAGAAGCTGGGCAAGTCAACGCTGCTAAACGCGGCCAAGACGAGCATGGCCTCTAAGATTGTCGACATGGACAGCGAGTTCTTTGGCAAGATGGTGGGTGCTGCTGCTTGTATCGAGTCTGTGCTTGTAGCGAGTGTGTGTCTATCAAAAGTGTGTGTGTATTGAGTATGTGCATGTGTTGAGTTTGAAATGGTGGTGGGGTTCCACAAATCAGTAAGGATTTCCTTTTTTCTTTGTTCTTCTTCTCGATCCCCCTCTCTGATTGTTCGCTTCTCTCCTCGCCCCTCACAGGTTGTGGACGCAGTACAAGCAGTGAAGACCACGAACGAGAAGGGCGAAGTCAGATACCCCATTAAGGTGCGTATGGCAATCTGACATGTGATTGAGTTCGAGCATCAGTTGGAGCTGTCGCCATATGTGGCAGCAAGTCTCTGCGGATACACTTGTACACCGTGCAAGCAGTGAAGACCATGAACGAGAAGGGCCAAGCCAGATATCCCATTGAGGTATCTGATCATCACATCTGTTTCAATGCTTGCTGATAAATGCCCACACACTCAATCAACACCACCATGTGTGCTGCCCAGATCAATGTATGCTGCCCAGGGCACACCCCCTCCAGGGCTTCTGCTATCTTGTTTTGTGTCTCTCTTCCCTCATCCCGTCAGCCCTTCCGGCCCCCCTTATGCTGCTTCCTCCCTGTTGCCCCGTGTCTCACTTGTGCATCCCGCAACCCCTCCTCCCTCCCAGGCCATCAACATTCCCAAGGCGCACGGCAAGAGTGCGAGGGACAGTGCACTGATCAACGTCTATGCGCTCAACACCACGCGCCGCGCCGCCCAGGGCATGCCCCGCCACGTGGGGCCCACCCGCACGCCCTGCTCTCTTGCCTCCACCCTCCTCATCCCTTTTGCCCACCTGCTCCTCTCTGCCCCTCTTCTGCTGCCTGTTCTCGTTCCCTTGCCTCTCTCTTGTGCGACCCACACCTTCCTCCTCCGTCTCAGGCCATCAACATTCTTAAAGCACATGGAAAGAGCGCCAGAGACAGTGCGCTGATCAACGGCTATGCGCTCAACACCACGCGTGCCGCCCAAGGCATGCCCCGCCGCGTGGGGCCTGCCCGCACGTCCAGCCCTCTTGCCTCCACACGCAACCGTCTTCCCTTTTGCCCACCTGCTCTTTTGCCCTTCGTCTTCTGCTGCTTCTCCGCTCGCGTGCGCCCCGCGCCCCTTCTCCACCACCTCAGGCAATCAACATTCTCAAGGCGCATGGCAAGAGTGCGAGGGACAGCGCATTGATCAACGGCTATGCGCTCAACACCACACGTGCCGCCCAGGGCATGCCCCGCCGCGTGGGGCCCGCCCGCATCGCGTGCCTGGACTTCAATCTGCAGCGCACTCGCATGCAGATGGGCGTGCAGGTGCTGGTGACTGATCCGAAGGAGCTGGACAAGATTCGGGAAAGGTGTGTAAAGAAGCAAGGTTTGGTGGAGGGAAAGGGCGGGGTACATGGAAGGGTCTGCTTGCATTGCGTGCCTGGACTTCAACCTGCAGCGCACTCGCATGCAGATGGGCGTGCAGGTGCTGGTGACTGATCCGAAAGAGTTGGACAAGATTAGAGAGTGGTGAGAGCACATCATGATCGAGTGGTTGGGTTTTTGCTTTGTGTGGATGTGAGTGAGTGGAAGTGGGGTGGGAGGAAGGGCATGCCCTACTATGTGGGGCCCGCCCGCATCGCGTGCCTGAACTTCAACCTCCAGCGCACCCGCATGCAGATGGGCGTGCAGGTGCTGGTGATTGATCCGAAAGAGCTCGACAAGATTCGGGAAAGGTGTGTAAAGAAGCAAGGCTGGGAGGGCAAGGGAGGGGTGTGTGGGGCCCGCTCGCATAGAGAAGATGCTTAAGGTGGGCCACACGTGGTGCTGGTGGTTACAACCGGTGTGTTCTGCCGTACAATATTGTAGGCTCCATGGAGGCAGAACACACCGAACTCCGTGGTGCTGGCTCCATGGAGCAACGTGGTGCTGGTGGTTACAACCGGTGTGTTCTGCCATACAATGCTCTGCGCCATGTTGCTCTGTTCCTCATGGCAGGGAGTCGGACATTGCAAAGGAGCGCATACAGAAGATGCTCAAAGGGGGCCATGTGTGCTGTTGGTTTTTGAGGCGCCTCAAATTTTTTTGAGGCACCTCAAAACTGAGACGATTTCTGAGGCGCCTCAAAAATAGTCGGACATTGCAAAGGAGCGCATTCAGAAGATGCTCAAAGGGGGCCATGTGTGCTGTTGGTTACAATCGTTGTGTTCTGCTCTTCTCTAATCGGTGTTGTGCTGTGCTTGCTCTCGTGGCAGGGAGTCGGACATTACGAAGGAGCGAATCCAAAAGATGCTCAAGGCGGGTGCGAATGTCATTCTCACCACCAAGGGCATTGATGACATGTCGCTCAAGGTGAGCTGTCGTGATGACATGTCGCTCAAGGTGAGCTGTCGTGATGACATGTCGCTCAAGGTGAGCTGTCGTGATGACATGTCGCTCAAGGTGAGCTGTCGTGATGACATGTCACTCAAGGTGAGCTGTCGTGATGACATGTCACTCAAGGTGAGCTGTCGTGATGACGTGACGCTTAAGGTGAGCTGGTGAGCCGTTGTGTTGTGATGACTTGTCGCTTAAGGTGAGCTGTCATGGTGAACCTTTGTCCTGTGTGCAATCGCCTTGAAGATCTGAGGCACATCTTGCCTGTCCCGTTTGCCTGTTTCCCCCGCACCCCCTACGCCTCACATCCCATCCTCCCTTGTCGTTTCCTTCCCTCACTCCCTATCTTCCAGTATTTCGTGGAGGCAGGCGCCATTGCAGTGCGGCGAGTCAAGAAGGACGAACTGAGGCACACCCCACCCCTCCCCTCTGCCTCACTCCCGCCCACCCTATCCTTCCCTCCCTTCCCGTCCCTCCTCCACCAGTATTTCGTGGAGGCAGGCGCCATTGCAGTGCGGCGGGTCAAGAAGGACGACCTGCGGCATCCCGCCTGTCTCCCCCTTCGTGTCCCCCCCCCCACCTCCTGCCCTGCCTGTCGTTCCCTTCCTTCCCTCGTCCCCACATCCACCAGTATTTCGTGGAAACAGGGGCCATTGCAGTGCGACGGGTGAAGAAGGACGATTTGAAGCACATCCTGCCTGTCTTTCCCCTCTTTTGAGTCACTCGTTTCCCTAACCCCCCTGTCCTTCCCTCTCCCATCCACCAGTATTTCGTGGAGGCAGGCGCCATTGCAGTGCGGCGAGTCAAGAAGGACGACCTGAGGCACATCGCCAAGGCGTCTGGTGCCACCATGGTGAGGCGCGGGGACGTGTGAGGATGGGCTATTAGGGGCAGGCGAGAGGGGCGTGTGTGTGCGCTTGGTGTGGGGATGGTATCCTGACTGTTACGAGGCAGGCGGTGGGAAGGAGGGTGAAGGAGGACGACCTGAGGCACATCGCCAAGGCGTCTGGTGCTACCATGGTGAGACAAAGGGAGGTGTGAGGATGGGCTATTAGGTGTGTGATGATCTGAGGCACATCGCCAAGGCGTCTGGGGCCACCATGGTGAGGCGCGGGGGGCGAGATGGGAATGGGCCAGCCACGGGTGCGTGTGAGTGGTGTGTGCATGTGAGCTGGTATGGGTGGGGCTGGTACCCTGACTAGAAGGTGGGCGGTATGAAGGAGGGTGGCAGGCAGAGGACGACCTGAAGCACATCGCCGAGGTATCTGGTGCTGCAGGGTTTTTTTGAGACTTCTCAAAAAAACCCTGCAATGACCTGAAGCACATCGCCAAGGTATCTGGTGCGCTACCATGGTGAGGCGAGGGGGGCGAGGGGGGATGTGAATGGGCTTGGTGTGGGTGGGGGTGGTTGTCTTGCTGCTGGGAGGCTGATGGTAGGAAGGAAGGAGTGCTTCTTCTTACATCGACCAGGAAATCGTTCAGGAGGGGGAGGGGGGTCTGGTCGAACCTGCTGTGGTTCAAGACGAATAAAAGAAGGCGTTGACGTTTTTAGATTCGACGCTACTTGGGAAAATTCTGTGGAGCTTCATTGCATGAACTGAACTTAGCAAAGAAAGGCTGGTTCATCATTAGTCAAACCGTTTCAGTTGTACCAAACGAGGTAACCTCAGATGCTCTCATTTGTGGAGATGGAGGGGTGGGTGACATTTGATGGTCCATGTTGGGGCAGGCAGAAGAGGGGTGGTGTACGAGGAAAGGGTGTTGTCTCACATGATATATGCCCTCTCGTTTCTTCTCGCAACCAACCTCAGATGCTCACATTCGCGGACATGGAGGGCGGGGAGACGTTTGATGCGTCCATGCTGGGACAGGCAGAGGAGGTGTACGAGGAGCGGGTGGCAGATGACAACATTCTCATCTTCAAGGGCTTTAAGGCCGCCAAAGCAGTGAGTGGGTGGATGGGGAAGGGAAAGAACGAGACACGGGGGTCCACAGGGGTGAATGGGTAGAGCAGGGCAGGGAAGGCCACACACCCACTGGGGCAGACAGAGGGGGTGCACCAGGAATGGGCACAGGGGGATACACTGGCCGTTATGTGGCCTATCCCATACCACTGGCCACGCTCGCTGTGAAGCCTGGACCACCACCATCCACCTCCCCCATCTCCCCAACCTCTCATCTCCCTTCCCTTCCATCCCTCCCGTCCGATCTTCCCCTTCTATCCGGCGGCAGCGCTCCTCGTCTGAGGGGCCAACGACTACATGCTGCACCACCGACCCACTCTCCCTTATGTGTCCTCTCCCACACATCCGTGTGACTTTTGAGAATTCTCAAAAGTGCACCACCAACCCACTCTCCCTTATGTGTCCTGTCCTCTCCCACACTGCAGGCCACCGTCCTCGTCCGCGGCGCCAACGACTACATGCTGGACGAGATGGATCGCTCACTGCTGCACGATGACGTCCGCATTCTCAACACTCCCACTCCTACTGATCCAACTCCCCATCTCTATACCACAGGCAACCCTGCTCCTGCGAGGAGCCAACGACTACATGCTGGACGAGATGGATCATTCCCTCCACGGTGCCATGCCATCTGCATCGTCAAGCGCTCTCACCCACCTCTGCCCTTTCCTTGACCTGTCTTTCACAACAGGCCACACTGCTCCTGCGAGGAGCCAATGACTACATGCTGGACGAGATGGATCGCTCCCTTCACGACGCCATCTGCATTGTCAAGCGCACACTCGAGTCCAACTCCGTGGTAGCAGGGGGAGGCGCTGTGGAAGCGGCTCTGTCAGTGCACCTGGAGAACCTGGCCACGACCCTTGGATCCCGGGAACAGCTCGCTATTGCTGAGTTTGCAGAGGCTCTGCTCGTCATTCCCAAGGTACGTGTGTCCCGCTCGTGCGCCTAAGGTGTGCCCTGTTCAATGCCTAAAGATGCTAAAGATGCCACAGCTCTGGTGGCGAAGCTGAGGGCATGCCACCACATGTTCCAGGGCTTTAACCCCGAGCTCCTTTCCTCCCGATGCCTCTCCACCCGTTGCTGCTCCCCGTGCTGCTGCAGGTGCTGGCGGTGAATGCTGCCAAGGATGCCACAGATCTGGTGGCGAAGCTGAGGGTTACCTTCAATCTTGCCATTTACCTCTTACCTTGTACCCCTTCTCTACGTGCTGTCCCTCACTCCATCAGGTGCTTGCGGTGAATGCTGCCAAGGACGCCACAGATCTGGTGGCGAAGCTGAGGGCGTACCACCACATGTCGCAGACTAAAAGCGACAAGCAGCACTTGGCAGAGTGAGTTTGGGGTGGGGTTGAGTTGAATCGAGATTCACAAGAGACTCTGTATCCCAATGAGTGCGGCTTACCACGTTTTCCAGTCGACTTGAGTGCGGCTTACCACGATTTCCAGTCGACTTGAGTGCGGCTTACCACGTTTTCACCATGCAAGAACATATCAGTCACTTTGACCATCACGAGTGCCTCTTACCGTGTGGCATATTTGGCTTACCACGAGTCATTTTGGTCTTACCACGAGTCATCGTTGTCTTGCCACATGCCATTCTTGTCATTTCCCCTCCCCCTTGTGTCCTGTGAGACAGGTTTGATTTGGGCCTGGTGAATGGGGTGGTGAGGAATAAGTTTGAGACATCTCAGATTTAGTCAAACGTCTAATATTTCTCCTTCTCCTTCTTCCCCTTCCCTGTGAGGCAGGTACGGTTTGGACCTGGTGAACGGTGTGTTGAGGAACAACGTGGAGGCGGGAGTGTTGGAGCCAGCCATGAGCAAAACCAAGATCCTGCAGGTGAGAGGACTGTGTTGCTTTGCTCTGGTGTCCATTAGGTACGTCCCGGATCTGGTCTGGTGAAGTGAAGCGGGGACACAGAGGAACAACGTGGAGGCGGGAGTGTTGGAGCCAGCAATGAGCAAAACCAAGATCCTGCAGGTAGGGGGCCTTCTTGGTTCTTTGTTCCTGCTGGTATTGATCAGGTAAGGTCAAAGCTAGGATTGAACTGGTTTGGTCCTACCTGGTGAACGGGGCGGGCGTGTGGAGCCAGATAGGATCATAATTCAGATGCTGCAGCTGAAATTCTGCCTGCATCGTGGTTTTGGTCTTATGCTGGTCTCGTGTTGGTTATCTGTCTATGGTCCTGAGCTTGAAATGATCAAAAGCCATCACTTCTTTCATCTTCTTTTTCTGAGCGGAAGGCCCCCCTCCCCTGTGTCATGGACTTGGTCATGCCTGTTGTGTTTGTGTTGCATAACTCGATCACTTGGCTCATCTTCCCAATTACCGTTCATTCCCCTCGACAGTGCGTGCCATTCCTCGCTGAGTAATCCTGCGCCACCCCCCCCCCCCCCCTCTGCATATTCGCCGTGTCCTCTGCCCCTCTCACTGAATGCCCACTCTGTCTTCGTCTCCTCTTGCTGCAGTTTGCCACTGAAGCCGCCATCACCATTCTCAGGATCGACGACATGATTCGGCTGGCCAAGGCCCAAGACGGGCCCGAGGAGTGATGTAGCGCTCGCGTTGAAATGAATACCCTTACATGCACAAACTTCCGAGGCGTCTCGAAAGTTGGTAGGGTATTTTAGTGAATGGGTTGGAATGGGAAAGGATTGTGCTCAATGCATTTTTACAACCAGAGCTGCCATGGTATCATATTGCGATAATAGTCAACATGATTCAAATGGCCAAGCCCTAAGATGGGTCCGAACAAATATGAGAGGTTGGGTTGGGCACTTATGTTTCTCCTAAGGTAATTTCTGTTGGAAACAATAGACTTAAGCGCCCCTGTCGTGTCGAAACACCAAGTCAGAAGCGAAGCACAACATATCAAAGAGTCAGCGAGTCGACCCTCGGAGGTTGAGCAACTGCTAGAGGTTACGCGAAAGTCAAATATCAGCGACCTTTGACCTGACAAGTACAGCGCGACAGCAAGGACAAACAACTGACTCGCTATTGAGCAGTTGCCCGAGTCGTCACTGTATCGAACCGCAACAGCAACAGCAAAACCGTTATTAGTCATAACCCTTCATATTCCCTTGTACTCTTATAAAAGCTTATATCTCTTAGTTTTAATCAATCTACTTCGCCCTCACATACTAGCGTAAGGTGGTTCACAACCTTTCATTAAAGGCTTCCGCTATTACATCAGTCCTACCAAGAACTTAGTCCTGCAAAGATCCTAAGGGGATTTTTCAGCCCAACATGGTATGAGAGCAACCAGGACAAATTCAACTACAATCAAGACAACCACAACGTCACAAGGCATGGCAACGCAGAAGGAGAGAAGCTCCTCTAACGGCTCTCCCGGTACTACTCCTACTCCACTTCCTGCCTCTGGCCTACAGACAGAGGAGGGTACGGCAACAAGACCAAGGGCAACATCTACCGAAACTCCCACAAACCAAGTCGCGGGCTTCGACCCAAGCATGATGGAGAAGTTCTTCTCCTTCATGTCCTTCTACGAACAACACCAGCAAGGGGTACCTGCGCAATCAAACAAGGGCAAAAACAACAACGACGTGACACCCATGAGTCTCGATGTCTCGTCTTACGCGCGCGGACATCAACAGCAACAGCCTACCTTCGCTCCGTACGAGCCCCAGCGCGGGTCCATCATCTTTATGCCACACCCGCAGCCTGCACGTGGACAAGAGAAGATACTGGACGCACTTCAAGTTCAGTCGCAGTTCGCGCACGTCTAAAAACTGCAAACGTCAAAGCCTTTCGAATTCTAATTAATGATGGAAGGCGCGCAGATTCTTGGCTTCTTCGACGGGTCCCTGCCATATCCAACACACGGCACACAATACGACAAGCAGCAGTACACGTATCAGTCAATGATGGCGTACACAATACTACTGAGAAACATCACTCCGAATCAGCAGCACAATATACGGTCTTACCGGGGATACGGCATCTCTGCAGAGCTCGCGTACAACCACCTGAAGAACCTGTATCAAGCAACAGACAGCGTCAATCAAAGTCGGTTAATGGCGCAACTGGCAACAGTCGAAATAAAACCGGGCAAAAAGGGAATGGCGTAAATCAGCCGGTTTCGCAAATTGCGCGACAAACTCCTTCGATGCGGAGGGTCGATTTCAGAAGACGCCTTCGTCACAGTCATCATCGGCGGCCTCGGTCCTCAGTGGCGCTCCACGCGCGCCATGTCAAACTTATATGTCTGTGTAGGCTGTAGTGGGGTGGACAATATGGGGTACAACACTTTTAGGTTTTCCTACTTGTACCCACCTGTTTCCTAGTGCACACATTTCCTCGTTCTTTCACATGGTATAGAGCGGGTTCCCTAGTGGGAACGTTTCCTAGGGCCCACCGAATATCGATTTTTTTTCCTGCCCGGAGCGCGCTTCGCCCCTGCCCGAGTCGCGCCCCGTGTGCCTACCCTCCCGTCGCGTCCCCTGCCCTTAGTGGCCCGTCGCGCTCCCTTACGGCCCCGTAGCGGCCCCTCTCACGGCCTCTCACGGCCCCTCTCACGGCCCTTCGCGGCCCCTTCAGGCCCCTTCACGGCCCCTTCGCGGCACCTTTGCGGCCCCCTCGCGACCCCTTCGTGGCCCCTTCGCGGCCTCTTCGCGGCCCCTTCGCGGCCCCTTCACGGCCCCTTCGCGGCACCTTTGCGGCCCCCTCGCGACCCCTTCGTGGCCCCTTCGCGGCCTCTTCGCGGCCCCTTCGCGGCCCCTTCACGGCCCCTTCGCGGCCCCTTCGCGGCCCCTTCACGGCACCTTCGCGGCCCCTTCGCGGCCCCTTCACGGCCCCTTCGCGGCCCCCTCGCGGCTCCCTTCGCGGCCCCTTGCGGCCCCGCCCCGCTGCCCATAGCGGCCCCGCCCCGTCGCGAGTCGCGGCCCTGCCCCGTCGCCAGTCGCGGCCCCGCCCCGTCGCCAGTCGCGACCCCGCCCCGTCGCCAGTCGCGGCCCTGCCCCGCCGCCAGTCGTGGCCCCGCCGCGTCGCCCCTGCCTCGTCGCGACGCTCCTGCGGGACCCGCGAGGCGCGGCTCCTGCGCGTCGCGACGCCCCTGCGGGACCCGCGTGGCGTCACCCCTGCCCGCCGCGGCGCCCTGCCCTAACCCGCGCCCTGGAGTAGCCGCCACTGCAGCAGGCGCCCCTGGAGCAGCCGCCCCTGCAATAGCCGCCCCTGGAGTAGCCGCCCCTGAAGCAGCCGCCCCTCGAGCAGCCGCCAGTGCAGCAGCCGCCCCTGGAGCAGCCACCCCTGCAGCAGCCGCCCCTGGAGCAGCCGCCCCTGCAGCAGCCGCCCCTAGAGCAGCCGCCACTGCAGCAGCCGCCCCTGGAGCAGCCGCCCCTGGAGCAGCAGCCGCCCCTGCAGCAGCCGCCCCTAGAGCAGCCACCCCTGCAGCTGCCATGGAGCCCTCGCCCTACAGTGGTAGCGGCCTTGCCATTGCCACCGTCGTACGCCTGCCCTTCTTGCCACTGGTGAGCACTGCCCTGCCCGTACTGCTATTACTGCTGCTCTTGCTGCTACTGCTCTTTCTACTGCCACTGCTGCTCTTAGCGTGGCCAGATGCAGCTCCAGCGCCGTCCGCGTGAGTCCCTCGCCCCCCAACAGCTTCGTGAGTGGTACGCTAGTTGGGGTTGTAGGGGTGGCCGCACTGCGACTACTGCTATTGCTACTGCTGCTGCTACTGCGGCTACCACTGCTCCTGGCGGTGGCGAGATGCAGCTCCAGCGACGTCCGCGTGAGTCCCTCACGCCCCAGCAGCTTCGTGAGTGGTACGCTACTTGGGGTTGTCGGGGTGGCCGATGTGGGAGTCCTCCTGGAGTGAGTAGTTCGGCAGCTGCTTGTCGTGGCCAGATGCAGCTGCAGCGTCGTCTGTGCGCGGTCCTTTCGCCCCAGCAGCTTCGTGAGTGGTACGCTCAGCGTGACGGGTCACGGGGTACTGCTCGCTGTCCGTACGTCATTCGCACTGGTGCTCGGACTGGTCAGCATTGCAGGAAGTTTGGTCACGCAGAGTCCTGCTGCTTCGCCCGTCTGAGCAACGCCTTGCGTACGGAGTTTGGCGACGCGGCTGAGCTCCCCGACTTGGTGGAGCTGCTTAGGCTGAGGGTAAATATCTATACTCTTGACTATGGTGCTATCCTCACTGCCATGTATACATTGCCTACTAGTGATGAGGGTGACTGTTACCTGTGTGTTCCGCCTGACCCGGGCATTGAGACTGCTACTCTAGTTGCTGGTGAGGCTGCTTCTCTAGATGCTAGTGCGCCTGCTGCTCCAGGTGCTGGTGAGTCTGCTGCCCTAGGTACTAGTGCGTCTGCTCTCTCAGGTACCACGTCGGCTTAGGCCTTAGACACCTTCACCCTTCACTAGGGTGCTTCCCGCTTCTTCTTTCGAGACCGCACCACGCTTACGCCGCTTAGTAGGCCAGTTGCGGTCTCCCTGGCGGACCCCTCTGGGGGTCCTGTCCTTGCCCACTTCTCCACTGTCTTACCGTGTCCGGCGGCCCCCTTTAGCACCCTGTCTGGTCTCTACCTCCCCTCGTTCTCTACGAACTTGGTGAGTGGTGCTGATCTACAGGATGGGGGGGTCGACCAGTTCACTCCTGCGAGTCAACGGGTGACCCACTGTACGTGTGCTCGGACGGGCCGACACTTGGCCACGTTTACCCGTCTGCCGGGGTCGAGCCTGTACACGATGACTACTTAGTCTCCTCCGGTTGCTGAGTCTGGTCAGGTAGCTTGGTCGGGTCAGGTGTTTGCTGCAGCGTCCAGGTCTGGTCTTGAGTCTGCTCCTTGCTCGTGTCGTCTCCTGTCCCACCGGACTCTCCTCTGGCACCACCGCCTTGGTCACCCCTCCCTGCCTCGTCTCCAAGGCATGGCCTCCTGTTACCTTGTCTCTGGTCTCCCCCGGTCCCTCCCTCCCCTCCCTCCGGGGCCTGCCCCTACATGCGTTCCCTACGTCGAGGGGCGCCAGCGCGCCGCCCCTCACTCCTCTGAGTTTCCTCCGACAGAGGCTCCGCTGCAGACTCTTCACATGGATGTGTGGGGCCCCGCCCGCGTCCGTGGCCAGGGTCACGAGCGTTACTTCCTGTTGGTGGTTGACGACTACTCGCGTTACACCACAGTGTTCCCCTTGCGCAGCAAGGATGACGTTACTAAGGTATTGATCGACCGGATCCGCGCAGCTCGTCTCCAGCTCAGAGAGAGTTTCGGCTCGGACTTTCCTGTTCTGCGTCTGCACTCTGAAAGAGGCGGGGAGTTTTCCTCTGGCCTTCTGGGAGCCTTCTGTCGTGCACAGGGCATCCGCCAGACCTTCACGCTTCCGGCCTCTCCACAGCAAAATGGGATTGCTGAGCGCCGCATTGGCATGGTCATGGACGTCGCTCGTACGTCCATGATCCATGCGGCTGCTCCCCATTTTCTGTAGCCGTTTGCGGTTCGGTACGCAGCGCATCAGATAAACCTTCAACCCCGGGACTCCTTGCCAGAGACCTCCCCCACCTTGCGGTGGACGGGGAAGGTTGGCAATGCGTCTGCGTTTC